TCAAATAAACGACTGATGTCAACGTTGTATTTATTTGTGGTGGTTAACTCTTAGAAGTGGTATTCTAACTATAATTATTCAGGCTTACATCTGATTTTACACCTACATCATAACAGTATGGCAAAGTCTGCAGCAAGCTCGGCCAGGAGAGCACTTTGTCTATTATTTGTAAAATGTAAATTATTAGGTTATATGGAATACTGAACTTTTACCCAAAAATATGACACCTTGGCATTGTCTGTTATTGAGTATGGTACATCGTTTCGGGGTACCTCTGATACGTCCTGTACTAATTACCTCCAGAATACAGCAATGCGTTACTTTTTAGGTTTAACGAAATGTGTGCCAAGTAATGCTGTTAGTGGTGACATGGGCTGGATACAGCCTACTGTTCGCCAATGGGCAAGTGCTGTTACATTGCATAAACGTCCATGTAATCTTGATCGGATCTCTTACAAACTATTTCTTTGGAGTAATTGTTGGGCGATAAGAAGGAAATCACCTGTCCTGGAACGTTTTATTCCCATGCAAACGTTATAATACCTTCTTTGTTGAGTCCAAGAATCATAGCTTTAGGTGTGCATATAAACTAGTTATTAAAACGAGCTATCACACAACTCAATGGTAGCTCCCACTATGAAGGTAAACTAGTGTCCAAAAGAAACGATACCAACTTATTTTCAAAATTGTTATTTACTAAGTGAATTGTCAAGTATGAAAACATGCCAATTCGTATTGCACATCCCAAACGCAGCATAGTCGATAAAAAATACCGGGAACACGTGATCACTTCCGGGAAAAAACGTAAATTTCGTGAAAGTGACATTTCCCTCTCTAGCATGTTCTGCACGTGCAGAAAAAACTGTATAAAACGGCTGATCAGACACGTTGATATCACAGCAACAAAAAGAACACAAGATATGCCACGTTTGACAGCCATCGAGAGAGAGAGAGCCGTTGGAATGGTCCAACAAGGAGCGTCACACGTCGACGTCGCCAGAAGGTTGGGCTGCGCACGCATCACTATCACCAGGTTGATGCAGCGGTTACGTCAGACAGGTCAGACGTCAGACAGGCCCAGGAGTGGAAGACCACGAGTAACCACGCCCCGTGAAGATCGTTACATCCGGGTATTACACCTGAGGAACCGCACCGTAACAGCGACGTCCACGGCGGCTACAGCACTGGGACACAGGATCAGTCGACAGACCGTCTACAGGAGACTACGGCAGTATGGTATCCGGCCACGTCATCCCTACCGCGGACCGCTCCTGACGCCTCGACACCGGAACAACAGACTGATCTGGGCCAGGCGAGTTCGACGTTGGCAACGGCGGGACTGGGCACGTGTTATGTTCTCTGATGAGAGCAGATTCCTCATCTTCAGAAACGATGGACGGCAGCTTGTACACCGACGATTTGGTGAACGTTTGGCGCCTAACTGTATCCAACAGGTCCGGCCGTTTGGAGGTGGAGGGTTAATGGTTTGGGGTGGCATATGTGGTGACGTCAAAACGATGCTTGTCGTAATTCGTGGAAACCTGAATGCACAGCGTTATCTTGATGACATCCTACGGCCTGTTGTGGTGCCCTTTATTCAGCAACAGCCTCGTGGACTCCTTTTCCAACATGACAATGCAAGGCCACACACAGCAAGATTGACACATAACTTCCTTGCCAACGCCAACGTACAGGTTTTGCCATGGCCCGCATGTTCACCGGACATGAATTCCATCGAGCACTTATGGGACCACCTCGATCGGCAAATCCATACGTCGCCGTGTGCCTCCAGTCAACGTCCAGGACTTGGAACGATGTCTCCTCGAGGAATGGCAACGCATCACTCCCAACGTCATCAGACGTTTGAAGTCATCAGTCCGTAGGCGTGTTCTGGCATGTATTGATGCTCACGGTGGACAAACCCGCTACTGACTTGACTTTGAGACGTGTGGTGTGACATTTCCCGTTGTTTCTGTGATCAGTGCTCTAACGAAATGTTCATTTTTCGACCCCACCCATCTTTAAAGGCTTGTCATATTGGTTGTACAGATTTTATTGACATGAAATTTTTGTACAGATGTTGTGAAAGGATTTCTCAAAAGCATAACACCAATCCTAAACTTCTGCATTGTTTAGTTTTTCTTTTATGTCGTTGCAAACAGGTGGTATCGTTTCTTTTGGACACTAGTTTACTTGCACACGGGTGTCACACGCGTGGCGAACAGGTTCCACACGAGTGCCCAACGGGTCGCACACGGGTTGCGTAACGCGATTCCCATGCGTGTAAGGGGGATGGACTTCTAGGCAGTAGTGTACATGCATGCATTCATGCATGCATACATACATGCATGCACGCACGCACGCACGCACATACAAACATACGTGCCATATGCTATGGGTCAGATCATTGCGCCGCAGGGATAACAAGTTCCGACTCGGATCACTGTGTTTGACAATAGGTGAAGAGGAGAAGACACCCTTAAGGCGATCCCCACATTTCTGAACAACTAGATACTTTTGATCCGACCGAGTCTCAACGATCACATTACATGTTGATATGTACAGCTTCAAAGAACACGATTTAAGTTGAATAAGTAGGACAAGGTTAAGGCCCATTCATTGGATAACCTGGATAGAATGTTTGGATAAACAGAACCTACGGCAGTAGTTGACGACTTTAACCAATACTATTAAACTGATAAATGACTTCGCCGAATCGGGCCATTGTATTTCATAATGTGTATGTTATATGTATCAATAAATAGCAGTACTTACACGCAGGTGGATGTACTTGAACTGGGGAATTAGCTGGAGAATGCGGATTCACCACAATAATAGGCCGGGACTGGTGACCCGCTGTGTGACGGTGGAAAATGAGGGCACCCGCTCAAACACCCCGTGAGAATCATACGGTTTGGAAGAGGGTCACATCATGTTGGGTTTGGGGTATTCACAGCATTAGCCGTGTAAACAGGCGCGGTGCACTATCATCTCGTGAACATGAAACTCTTTCTTGTTTTGTACTTAAATGTTCGTACCTCCTTTTATTTTTTGTAGTTTCGCTGTCAGATCTATCTATCTATCTATCTATCTATCTATTTATCTATCTATCTATCTATCTATCTATCTATCTATCTATCTATCTATCTATCTATCTATCTCTCCTATCTATCCTATCTATCCTATCTATCTAATCATGAAAGGGATGTAACCTCCGTGCTCTAGTTAACAGAAGACCGTCTATTTGTAATCCTCACTGTATGTACTGTCATCATACAATATTCGAGGATTTTCTGTCTGATGTATTCAGTTAAAATGTACAAAGTTCCTCTGTCTGGTGTATACAGTGACAATGTACATAGTTCCCTGTCTGATATATACAGCTATAATGTACGTAGTCCCTTTGTCTGATATATACAGCTACATTGTAAATAGTTCCCTATCTGATATATACAGCTACATTGTAAATAGTTCCCTATCTGATATATACAGCTACATTGTAAATAGTTCCCTATCTGATGTACACAGCTATCATGTGCATAGTTCCCTATCTGATGTATACAGCTACATTGTACATAGTCCCTCTGTCTGATGTACACAGCTACATTGTACATAGTTCCCTATCTGATGTATACAGCTACATTGTACATAGTTCCCTGTCTGATATATACAGCTACAATGTGGATAGTTCCCTGTCTGATATATACAGCTACAATGTGCATAGTTCCCTATCTGATGTATACAGCTACATTGTACATAGTTCCCTGTCTGATATATACAGCTACAATGTGCATAGTTCCCTATCTGATGTATACAGCTACATTGTACATAGTTCCCTGTCTGATATATACAGCTACAATGTACATAGTTCCCTGTCTGATTTATACAGCTACATTGTACATAGTCCCTCTGTCTGATTTATACAGCTACAATGTGGATAGTTCCCTGTCTGATATATACAGCTACAATGTGCATAGTTCCCTATCTGATGTATACAGCTACATTGTACATAGTTCCCTGTCTGATATATACAGCTACAATGTACATAGTTCCCTGTCTGATTTACACAGCTACATTGTACATAGTCCCTCTGTCTGATATACACAGCTACAATGTGCATAGTTCCCTGTCTGATATATACAGCTACAATGTGCATAGTTCCCTATCTGATGTATACAGCTACATTGTACATAGTTCCCTATCTTATTTATACAGCTATAATGTACATACTTCCCAGTCTGATGTATACAGCTACATTGTTCATAGTCCCTCTGTCTGGTATATACAGTTACATTGTAAATAGTTCCCTATCTGATATATACAACTACATTGTACATAGTTCCCTGTCTGATATATACAGCTACAATGTGGATAGTTCCCTGTCTGATATATACAGCTACAATGTGCATAGTTCCCTATCTGATGTATACAGCTACATTGTACATAGTTCCCTGTCTGATATATACAGCTACAATGTACATAGTTCCCTGTCTGATTTATACAGCTACAATGTACATAGTTCCCTGTCTGATTTATACAGCTACAATGTACATAGTTCCCTATCTTATTTATACAGCTATAATGTACATAGTTCCCAGTCTGATGTATACAGCTACATTGTTCATAGTCCCTCTGTCTGATGTATACAGTTACAATGTACATAATTCTTTGTCTGATATATACACCTACAATGTACATAGTTCCCTGTCTGATGTACACAGTTGCAATATATGTTGATCATCGGTCTCGAGTGGGAAACGGGTTGATGTACCCTTTAATTATAAGGACGAATGCACTCACAAAGGGCAGGCATCCACATATATTGTAGTTGTATACATCGGACAGTGAAACATATTTTAGAAGGATTTACTTACTTTTAGGTGCAAAACACATGCGTTTTCTGGTTCACTAGATGTCAGTCCACCGCGTCTGTTGAGACAACAAATGTTGTGAATGCCTTCCACCCGAGACACGCATTACAGCATAATGTAGTCTATTGTGAACTCTTGTGGTTCACGTTCGGGTGCCCTTCATTTTTCAAGTATCGTGTAACCAATCCCGGCCTGTGGCATACGCGCATGTTCTAGTTTCGCTCCCCGCTCAGCTGCATCCATATGCGTGTAAGTACAGCTATATATTGATACACATAATGTACACAATATTAAATACAGCTGTTTTGTGTATACTGAGTATATAATGTTGCACAGTCACCTTACGTAACTGCGATTGTTGTGTTTGAATACCAGCATTGTTGCATCTTTAAAGTTTGAGAAATACCATGCTGTCTGATGTTGACTATTGCTTGTGAAACTGTAGAAGGAGATTCGTGTAACGCAGTAGGAAACATGATTACGCACCCATATGACAAACTGCTGTGCCCGATTTGCCGAAAGTAGACATTTATCTCTTTAATCTAATATTTTGATCGTCACTTGATTCTTGATTCGTCAGTTTATTCATTGATGGTTTATTCATACAATCTACCCGTCTATTTAATGAACCGATCTTCCAAGTATTCAACTTCTATCGAGTTCGTTTGAAGTTTACAGAAAAAAGTAAAAACACTTTCCCCTATTCATAAAAAATCTCTGCTAAAAGCTGAGTCGATTGTACGATTCCGACTAAATCATGAGCATGTGTTTATGTCAAAATGTGATGAAACCAGGTATTCGCGAGCCTTCCCCACAGGTGGCACCCGCCTCAAACACCTCTAAAGGCAAGTCGGTTGTTCACGTGAAAAGACAAAAAATAGGGAATTGTATCGGACATCATTTTGGTCACTGATGCGTCAAATTTGGAAATGTCCACCACATGTGCACCATGAAACGTTCTAAAACCCATGTGTCCTGAACCAGTTGCACAGGTAGTGGACGACACGCAGCACGTCAGGCCCATGTGTCCTGAACTAGTTGCAAAGGTAGTGGACGACACGCAGCACGTCGGACCCATGTGTCCTGAACCAGTTGCACAGGAAGTGGACGACACGCAGCACATCGGACCCATGACTTTGTCCTGAACTAGTTGCACAGGTAGTGGACGACACGCAGCACGTCGGACCTATGTGTCCTGAACTAGTTGCACAGGTAGTGGACGACACGCAGCACATCGGACTCATGTGTCCTGAACTAGTTGCAAAGGTAGTGGACACGCAGCACATCGGACCCATGACTGTGTCCTGAACCAGTTGCACAGGTAGTGGACGACACGCTGCACATCGGACCCATGTGTCCTGAACTAATTGCACAGGTAGTGGACGACACGCAGCACATCGGACCCATGTGTCCTGAACCAGTTGCACAGGTAGTGGACGACACGCAGCACGTCGGACCCATGTGTCCTGAACCAGCTGCACAGGTAGTGGACGACACGCAGCACGTCGGACTCATGTGTCCTGAACTAGTTGCACAGGTAGTGTACGACACGCAGCACATCGGACCCATGACTGTGTCCTAAACCAGTTGCACAGGTAGTGGACGACACGCAGAACATCGGACCCATGTGTCCTGAACTAGTTGCACAGGTAGTGGACGACACGCAGCACATCGGACCCATGTGTCCTGAACCAGTTGCACAGGTAGTGGACGACACGCAGCACGTCGGACCCATGACTGTGTCCTGAACCAGTTGCACAGGTAGTGGACGACACGCAACACATCGGACCCATGTGTCCTGAACCAGTTGCACAGGTAGTGGACGACACGCAGCACGTCGGACCCATGTGTACTGAACCATCACTCTCACGAAGAAGCCTCTTGCTGTCGCCCCAGCTCGGTTACAGCGTATGATGTTGCAGCTACAAAAGTATGACCTTACAGTTGAACACAGACCTGGGAAGGAAATTGTAGTAGCTGATACAATTTCACGCAAGTAAGTGCCTGATACGTACCCGCACCTTTCAGAAGGTATGGACGCACATGTCCATATGATAGTATCAAATGTTCCTGTCAGTGACAAGAGCATGGAGGATATTAGACGAGCCACAGAATCTGACCCTCAGTTCTCCTTAATCGAACAAACTATCATAGGTGGTTGGCCTGAACATAGGAAGCTATGTCCAGGGACGATACTTGAATTCTGGCACTTCAGGGACCAACTTGCCTTCATGGATGGTATCATATTCAAGGGTCAGAAAATTGTCATACCCAAGTCCCTGAGGACAAGCATGCTTGACAAAATTCACACTGGACACATTGGAGTTGAAAAGCTCGTGACATTTTGTTTTGGCACAAGATGTCAAATGATATCACAAGTCTTGTACTCAACTGTTCTGTGTGCCTAGAGAGAAGAAACTCTAACCCCAAGGGACCCCTCATATCACATGACATTCCCAGTCGTCCTTGGCAGACCTTGGCCACAGACCTCTTCTTATGGGACAACCCCGATTTTGTGGTCGTCGTCGACTATTATAGCAGGTACTCTGAAGTTTGCAAATTACCCAGCACCAAAAGCACCACTGTTATCAATGCTCTCAAACATGTATTTGCAAGACACGGGATACCGGATAAGGTGATATCCGACTATGGCCCCCAGTACTCCTCACAAGACTTTGCTCAGTTTGCAGAAAAGGGACTTTGTGCATGAGACATCAAACCCTCATTTCACACAGTCAAATGGCCTTGCCGAGAAAACTGTCCAAACCATCAAACGCATTTTTTCAAAGGCAAATACAGATGGCAGAGATCCACACATTGGTATTCTAGAGTGCCCCAAATGGAGGCAAATCTATTACCCTCACAGCTACTCATGGGTTGACGATTACGGTCCACCTTACCTTGTACCCAACATCAACTACTGCCTAGATCTGTTGATCATTCTCAGTACCAGAAGGTACTACAAGAAAGTCAGAGGAAACAAAAGCACTACTACGATACTTAAAACGACAACACAATAACTTGTGGACACCTGCAGTTGTCACAAAGCAGCACAATTCCAGGTCTTACATCGTTCGCACCGGCGATGGAGCAGAATATCGTCGCAACCGACGTCACCTACTAAAGGCTCGTGAAAAGCATGATATACCTGAAATGAACATTGATGTCACAAGTAGTGAGTTACCACGTGTTCCACAGACTGACAGAGTCGTTACCTGTACTCGTGATACACCTGAGGTCAAACCCTCTGATGACCCTGTAAAATCACCGATCTCATCACGAACACACAGTCCCCAGAAAGGTATTGACAATGCCAATAATCAATATATCACTCGTTCGGGTCGGGTTGTCAAACCCAAGGTTATTGCCTCAGTGTAGTTTTTACCAGTTTTAGCCCATGATAATTATAAGCCTATACAACAGTCGAACACAGTAAGTTTGTGTCAGTGTCATTCTGATAGGCCACTTCACAATATTTGTTACAATACAGGAAATGACAACTTTTGAGTTATTAGTTGTAATTCAAGTTCGCAGTGTTTGGCATCATTGAAGTAATTGAATATGATCAATAAACACGTCCCATTTTAATTCTGGAAACCCAAAAGTCCAGAAACTCTACGCTCTTTGCCCAGTCTCGGTTAAAGGTATTTACAAAATTAAAAATGCCGTTTTCATGGGAACATACCAAGGAAGAAAAAATGAAAAAAAAATTGTTTAAAAACTCAATATTTAGACTATGTCGCCCATGGGCCTGCCCATGGGCCTGCCCATGGGCGAAGTCTGGCCCATGGGTAGGCCCATGGGCAGGCCCATGGGCGAGAATATGTTCCTTTACTTAAAACTCATGTTTTTGTTTCGCAAATACATTTAATGTATTCATTCAAGTATCATGACTCAATAATTAACTCATTTTAACTTAATTCAACGATTTTATAGCGATATTGAAATATTTCGCCCATGGGCGAGAAAAAGGTTTGGCCCATGGGCGAGAATATGTTCCTGTACTTAAAACTCATGATTTGTTTCGCAAATACATTAAAAGTATTTATTGAAGTATCATGACACAAAATTTAACTCATTTTAACTTAATTCAACGATTTTATAGCGATATTGAAATATTTCGCCCATGGGCGAGAAAAAGGTTTGGCCCATGGGTAGGCCCATGGGCAGGCCCATGGGCGAGAATATGTTCCTTTACTTAAAACTCATGATTTTGTTTCGCAAATACATTAAATGTATTTATTGAAGTATCATGACACAAAATTTAACTCATTTTAACTTAATTCAACGATTTATAGCGATATTGAAATATTTCGCCCATGGGCGAGAAAAAGGTTTGGCCCATGGGTAGGCCCATGGGCAGGCCCATGGGCGAGAATATGTTCCTTTACTTAAAACTCATGTTTTTGTTTCGCGAATACATTAAATGTATTTATTTAAGTATCATGACACAAAATTTAACTCATTTTAACTTAATTCAACGATTTTATAGCGATATTGAAATATTTCGCCCATGGGCGAGAAAAGGGTTTTGCCCATGGGCGAGAATATTTTCCTTTACTTAAAACTTATGTTTTTGTTTCGCAAATACATGCAGGTGTTCTTACTATTTTCATGGCACATAATGTAACTCAATTTTACTCAATTCAGCTATTTTACAGATTTATTGAAATATTTCGCCCATGGGCGAGAAAAGGTTTTGCCTTCGAAATCCTTGATTATTATATCATGCCAGAGTTCTGAAATTCAGTGACAATGCTGTTGAACAGTAGAATCTGATTGACGTATTGTGCAGAACCTGTTTGACACTATGGGTTCCAGGACCACTAACACTCTGAGCTGAAAAAGTTTGGTCCTAACCGCACCCAACATCTTTATTGAACCCGGCCTTATTTCTCAAAACGTTTTGGCAGTTTATCATACGAATTCATGTGCGTGTACAACATTAAATTTTAGTTAGTTTCTATTTCATTTCCCATTTTATGACCCGTCGATACATCCCACTGTGCAATTACGTGACAGGTACGCGTGCGCGTATTTTAATGGAAAGAAACTATTCGTCTTTTATTGCATAACGTTTGGCTGAATATCTTACATTCTAACGAAATCTGGAAATAATTATTTAATTACAAGCAGTGTCGAACTGACCAGTAGGAATTATGTTTCAATGCGATTGAGGAAAACGTGAGTGAATATTGTGACACTAAAGCAACTTTTAACTGCATTGTCACTTTTGGTATGAAAATGGT